AAGTTGCAAGGCATGATAGATTACCTCTCACATTACACAAAGGCTTAATGCGCGAAGGCATAACAGGATGAGGTATGGTTCATCTGGATGGAAGACTTCCTTACCATATCAGCTGTCTCTGTAGGAACAGGAACTTAGAAACAACTTCCAGAATTTCTGCTCCAAAAACTTTACTTTCAGGGCAAGAACACCTGAGCAGTCCATGGTAGAAAGTCTATGTACTCTAGAAAATTGACTAACACATTTAACACTCAGTTACTCCAAAAATGTTTTATCCTTTGCTATTTACGTTCTCTGAGTACAAACCAACGTCCTGCTGTCTCTTCAGTCCATATGCTAAACTGATGAAACAGGCTCAGTTGTGAAGCATCCCTGGTCCCTTCACTCAGGGATTAATACAGAAGGACATGGTTAAAAACTTTGGAATGTTCACTCTAGTAAGAGGTTGTCAAACACTTACCAACCAATGGCACCCTTGGCTTTGAGTAAATGGAGACAAAACCAATGTATTATCTTTTAAAATTAATAAAATAAATGTAGAATTATTCCAGATATAAACAATGTTGTGATGATGTTTCTGTAATTTATTTAAGAACATTATTCCCACACTACTACATCTTGGAGTGGAGAGCTTCACACTGAGAATTGCTGCAAGTGCTGTCCCTGAAGTGCAGAACCTGGTGTGGATCAGAATCCATGCAAATACAAAAATGCAGTTAAAAATGCATACAATTACTGCAGAAAGTATATTCACATTTTTTGAAAATAAAGCATCTTCTAGTTTCCAAGTATCTTCTACCTGCTATTCTACTACCTGATTTTCACATTAGATCACAAATGAGTATCACAAAATGATCTATCACCAGCCTACAATTAGAAAGCAGTCCAACACTTTCAGTTAAGGAAGTATTGCTGTCACTGAATTTTCATTCAAGCCCTATTTCTCCTGATCTTATCAGGCCATAAAAACTGACAAGTATTTATTCCTGTTTGGAAATCTTGACATTGGTCCTGTCAATAGTACACCTGTCTTTTAAAACAAAATCATATTTAAACTAATATTGACTCTCTTACAAGATACTGAAAAATCTGAGATTGTTTTCTCGGCAAGTCTGAAGTGAAAAAATTGTGCACCTGAATCAGTCTAGTAGTATCTGGCAGTATGTACCCTGGCTGAGAACCATGGAAAGCATGGCTCGCAAAGTTTTTTAAATCTAATCATCACAGGCTGAAATAACTTTCCATATCACTGAAATCAGTAGTACTTTGTGAGAGTTCTCTGTCTAAACAGTATTACAGATAGAAGTTATGTTAAAATCCTGTATATAGTGAAATTGTTATGTTGTTATAATGAGGAGAAAATGTTCTGAACTTTATCAACCACCTCCAGGCAAGTTTGTTGGGTTTATCATTTATTGTCCAGTTGCACATAAAAAGTATTATCAAGTCTCAACCATCACCACTCGTCTGCATAGTGCATTTAAGGCTGTGATCCCGGTGAGTCATCAAGCACCAGCTAATAGTAGTAATCCATTAAAATATGAAGCAATGCCAGTAACTTAATCTGCTTTCTCTCATTCATGTTCAGTGTATGTTATCTTTTTTCTTTCCTTTAAAGTAAGAGCTCAGAAGTGGTTTTGAAGATGAAAAAAGAAATGTTTTGATAAGTCAGGCTTCCTTCAGGAAGAATTCTATGGCCACAAATTACAGCTGTAAGAATGGAGTAAGAAACTTGCACAAATGCCAAGATAAACCAATGCTCCTAGATCTTTAAGCACATGCAAACCAGCACTTTAGAACATAAGCTCCTGAAAGAGTCTTTTTTTTTTTTTCCAAACTATTTGCAATTTTTAACTTTTTGGTCTTTAATGTGAATCAACTCTTAAAATGGGGTACGCATCTGCTAAAAGAAAGATAAGCTGTCCATGAAAAACTCTATTATAGCTGATGACACTTACCAAAAGAAATTTTTTTTGCATTTTATTGGAACCAGAGAAGTAATATATCAAACATTTGTTTGGCATAGCATTCAGCTAGGATTTATTTACTTATTTAGAGCATTAAGGATTAGCATTTGCATCTGGAAAGCTTGTTTGTATATAACAGGTAAATGCATGACTTTTTCTACAAAATATGATCCTTCTCTACAAAAGCACAGTAAACATGTTTCCATGTCTTACTTTGATGCTGCTGACCTTAAATGTTCTTCCATTTGGTACAGTGAAAATAACAACAAAAACCACTGGGAAATGGAAGGTTATTTGAATTTCTAATTCCTCTGAGTGGCAATGCCATTCAGGAAGATAATACCACATATACTGGCATTTGTTTTAGATGCAGAAAAGAAAGCCTAACCAAGCGGGGCAGATATAATAATACAAAATGGAACAACTGGAGCATTTAGCCTTCAACAACTCAACACAGGGTGGGAGAAAGGGTGCTATAAATATTAAGATACAAAGCCTGGAGAAAAGAGAGAGAGAGAGAGAGAGAGGTGGCCATACCAGCAAAAGAGTAACACTACATTAAAAACCTAAACTTGCTCCTGCCATTTGACTCTTAATGTCATCCCAAGGGGAATACACTGAGGTATTACAGTGACCACATGTTTAGACACATCCAGTAACTCCCATGTGGAGCTGCTAATTGTGAGGGAGTCATTGCTTGACTCAGTCCTAGGTACACAAAATCACAAGTAGATGACACAGGGAGAGACCTCTGGATGCCAATTAGGTCAAACCCACTGTCAAGCAGGGTCACCTTGAGACGGTGACCCAGGACTGTGTTCAGTCAGGTTCTGAGCATCTCCAACGACAGAGATTCCATAATCTTTCAGGGCACTTGTGTCAGTGCTCCATCACCGTCAGAGTGAAAACAGTTTTTCTTGTTTAAGCAGAATTTCTTGTATTTCAATTTGTGCCCATTGACTCTTGTCCTGCTACTTGATAGCACAGAGAAGCCTCTGGCTTAATTTTCTCTACACTCCTCCTACCCTGTATTTATACACATTGTGAAGATCCCCCTGAGCTGTCTCTTCTCCTGAACAGTCCAGGTGTCAGGCTCTACTTATATGTCACATACTTCAAGCCCTTAATCAATCTTACCCTTTGCCGGACTCATTCCAGTCTGTCCTTGCCCCTCATGTACTGGAGACCCCAGAACTGGACCCATCACTACAGATACTGCCTCCCCAGTGCTGTGTACAGGGCAAGGGTCACCTCCTTCGTCCAGCTGGCAACACTTTCTAATGCAGCCCAGCAGGCTGTTGGTCTTCTTTGCTGAGGCACAGAAAAAGATTGCTTTTCGCAAGAGGAAGGATCTTCTACACCTTAAGGGATTACAGATTCCACAAGTTTACATGGATTTACAGAATCAAAAAATGGTAAGGATTGTAAGGGACCTCGGGAGATCATCTAGTCCAACCCCCCTGCTACAGCAGGTTCTCCTAGAGCATGTTACACAGGACTTCGTCCAGGCAGGCTTTGAATATCTCCAGAGAAGGAGACTCCACAACCCCCGCAGGCAGCCTGTTCCAGTGCTCTGTCACCCTCAAAGTAAAGAAGTTTTTCCTCATATTCAACTGAAATGTCTTATCTTCCAGTTTGTGCCCATTGCCCCTTCTCCTGTTGCTGAGCACTACTGCAAAGAGTCTGGCTCCATCCTCGTGACATCCACCTTAAAGATATTTGTATGTGTTGATGAGGTCCCCTCTCAGTCTTCTCTTCTCCAGGCTGAACAAGCCCAACTCTCTCAGCCTTTCCTCATAGGGGAGATGCTCCAGTCCCTTAATCATCCTAGTTGCTCTCCTCTGGACTCTTTCTAGGAGTTCCTCATCTTTCTTGAACCGGGGAGCCCAGAACTGGACACAGTCCTCCAGGTGGGGTCTCACCAGGGCAGAG